TCTGATTCCTGAGCATCTTTATGACTTTAACAAACACAGAAATGTTAATTACACAGCAGGTCCCGCCTTACAAATGCTTGAGCTCCACACTTTTCACAGATATGAACTGATCCCGATTTTGAACACTTGTAGATATGAACAAATCGGGCAAGCAACTTGCATATATGCGGGACACTGTCACAAGTGTGTGGCTGTATGCTGACTACACGTGTGACAGTGCGCAGTAGTGCCGTGCTCATTTAACACCCAGCGTGTCTGTAAGCAAGAGGAAAATCAGCGGTGATGTGCAGGGGACTGCTCAGAAACGTAAAGCTGTGAACTTTGCATATTGTGTCAAAGATCTGTAAGACTCACTTTCTTGGACTCACAAATGAACCAGACTTAGGAGTGGAACTCGTTCATAAATTGAAGACTACCAGTATTCAATTTATGCTCCTTGATCTTTTTTTATAACCTTTTGCAAAACTGAAAATTTTCCCTTAATTGAGCCCTAAAGTACAATCCTCCTTGGCCAACACAGGCAAAATGCATGTTAATAGTTTTGAGGACACCTTTGTTACATCTTTCAAATCATTTCATTAAGTCATGTAAAGAAAAAGGCATTTGGGTTTATACTTGGTTAATTACTGAGTCCTTTTATTTTTAGGTTAATGTGGTTCCATCCAAATGATGTGCAATATTACATCCAAAATATGCATGTGCATGGGCACATGCGCGCGCGCACACACACACACACACACACACACATGGCTTAAATTTACCATTTGCCAGCTTTTAAAAAGTTACAGAATAGGCATGAATTTTCTTTTTATAGTCTCAAGCAGCACTCAATGCTAAATATGCTTGTCTGAAGTTAGGGTTCCTGGTTGTAGCAAGGTGAGAAATAGGATTCTCAAAGGAGATTGTTTGCCCAGTTAATCTGACTTTGAATTTCTTGCAGGCTTTTTCTTCTTTCTGCTTTAACTTATTGCAGGTCTTAGTAAACTCAAAAGGTGTTTTGCCCCAGATTGTAAGACATTTTTGTTTGTGTGTTAAAATTTAGACATAGCTCATCAGCAGTTTCTATATCTTATCCTCACTTTATTGCACAAGCCCTGTAATATGGTAAAGCAAAGCAAAAACCAAAACAAACCAAAAACAATTTAAGAGTATTCCCCACTAAGAGAAGCACCACGGCAAGCCATCTGTAGTCAAATTTCTTCATTTGCCTTTCTCATTTAACTAGAAGTTAAAGAATGGAAGTGACAGGGGACAAAAATCAATTTTCAGCAAGCAAGTTTTGACAAATATTTTAAAAACCAGTTTAAAAATGAATCAAAGAGTGTTACCTCCAAAGAAGGGGAAACTTAAACCCAAATGCACTCACCAGCATAAGCAAAATATCTATGTGGTCAGTGGATACAGAAGGTTCTTATTTGTGCTTCTTACTAATCCAGAAAAGGGCGTGGAGAGCAGCGAGGGATATTTTCCTGACCAAAGTTACTCCAAAGAACCTCCTTAAGCACATCTGTATAATATCAGAGTGTACTTTCAGTTATACAGACCATGTGGTATTACAATAAAATCACCCTTATCTAAGTCCCCACAGGTAGCTAAAATTTTCTAGGGCGCTGCAAACTAACACACCCACTTTTATTCCTGGACAATTTACAACAGAGCAGCCTGAATATACCACCAGGGTCTCTATACTCGTAAAATCCTCTTATTCCAAACATTTTTGTAGACAAAGAGTTCAACAACTTTGAACTCTATGCAGATTCATGAACAAGCCTCAAAATGGCTGGAAGCACCAAATGACTTACATAATTTTAGAAAGTACTGACTCCCTGCTTGTCTTAGAATAAAGGTGGTTATAAGAGGAGAAAGAAGAAACAAAGTAAAGGAAAGTAAATTAAACCAAACAACCAACCAAACAAAATCATATTCCAAACATGCCTGGAAATTTTTTTCTACACAAAATCTCTTTTCATACCAGTCAGTGCCCCCTAATGACCTCCAACTGGTCCAAAATGGCCCCCCAGATGGGCTTTACCCCATCCAAATAAACAACCTCAGAAGATCCAGGGCGTGCATTCGCCAGTGGGAAACCGGGTGGAACTCTTCAGTCCTCCCAACAGGCTGTTTTCCTTTCACCAACAAACATGTTTATAGGCAGCTGATGCCATCCACGAACACAGACGCTGGGATAACAAAGTGTCCTTGGTAGCTGCTGCCATTATAGCGGGTTAAGTTAAGTAAAAATATTTTAGGCAGGCAGGCAGGCAGGCAGGCAGGCAGGTCTAGGCCCTCGAGGGCGTCGGGGCAGGTGAGAACATAGCACCACTGTAGCTGGAAGCACGTCTGCCGAAGGCCAGGCCTCCAGACCATGATGGAATGAGCAGGCCTACATGTGTTCCTAAGGGATACGCAGTAACTTGAAGGTTATAATATGCTATCACCCGGCCCAATGAAGTCTAGGTAGGTGTCAGTTTCCCTGCTGGGTGACCAGGACCTCCTGATCCATCCATTCCTAAAAAGTCTTTGTTCTTTCTTTTTTTTTAATTTATGTGTGTGTGTGTGTGTGTGTGTGTGTGTGGCCAGCTGAGCCCACCAGGGGGCGGGGCTGGCTGGCATTGGTGCTGGGGGATCGAACCCCAGTCCCTGTGCTTTGCTAAGCTTGTTCTAAGTAGGTGCTCCAGACCACTGCGCCATCTCACCAGCCCGGGGTCTTTGTTCTTTCATGCACGCTTGCTACGTGACCTGCTTCCCCACTGGATCAACACTGAGTGCCCTTGCAATTTTGCTCTATTAAACTTCCTCCGAGAAGGGGGCTTGTCGTCAGTTCACTTTTGGGGTTCCTCCTGTCCCTCCGGAGCTATCGCTTTCAATAAATTTTTCACGCTCTTAACCTCCGCTGTTCCTTAAAATTCTGTCTCCAACGTTGGGGAACAGGAACTCGGTGTATGTGACATCGAGCAGGCTGGGAGTTCTATGACTTCCTGCCACTGGGTCAGCCCTGGAGTCCTCGCCTCGGTCCAGGCAGCTACGACAGGTGTCGCTGCAGTTTCCAAGTGTCTGCTGGGACGACGGGCTCTCAGGTGGCAGGATTTGCTTTCTGGCTGCTTGCTGCAGAGCAAATCAGAGGAGGCCACATGTTTTTGTAAAAATGAAAAAAGATTCATACAAAGCTAGCTCGGAAGTGCTGGAAACGCGCATCTGCTTCAGATCGCCACCGCTGCTGGTCCAGATGGGGCAGGGGTCATTCACCGTAAAACACGGGAGTGCGGGGGCAGGAAAGAGGGGCAGTGCCGATCTCCAGGTTTCCTTTACCATTTCTAGCCACCTTAAACGCACTGACCTCATTCCTGGGAGAGGAATCTGGGCCCCAGCTCCTGCGCCCAGCCCACCGGCAGCCGCCTATTCTGTCACTTCTAGCGCTGAGGAGAGGAGGGAAAGGGGTATGTGCGAGGCAGGAGAAATCTGCAGAAATGGCTTATCTTTACAAAAAAAAAAAAAAACAAAAAAAAAAAAACACAAAACCTTAACTAACTTTCACAGCTGTCTTTTGCAGTTCTGGTTACAGCTCCTTGCAGCACCGTCCTCGGCACTCGGGGAGCGGGACCCCCAGCGAGGAGCCCCGCGGCCTGCATCTGGATGCGGCGAGCTTCCCCCAGCGGGCGCCGGGATTCTGCGCACGCGCAGTGCGGCCGGCAGCCGTCGGGACTCCGGGCACCCCCCCCCAGCCTCCCCACGCGCGCATGCGCGCACGTTTAGCCTGCGCGCGGACGCGTTCCCCCCCCCGGCCGCCCAGCCTGGGTCTGGAGTGGTCGCCGCCGGCTCCTTTAGCCCCGCCCAGTCGCGCCGCTTTCCGAGCCGCCCAGCACGCAGGCGCGGTAACCAAGGCGGCGCTGTCTAGTGAGGATTTGAAATCGGCCGCGCGTGCGCACTGCGCCGCGGCCCGCGAGGGAGGCCGCGCTCCCCGCCGCCCCGCGGTCTCGCAGCGCCCGCCCCTCGCTGGAGTGGAG